TGTGGTTTTTAGATTTTTATTCTCATATTGATGTCTCCTAGATATATGGTTGAACTTACTAATCCAGTTTGTTATTCTACATGAATTGGAAGGTTTACTACATTTATTGATCTAGATTCAAGTTAAGTATTTTCTCTCTAGTTTGCAACTTGGATCAGTTAATGTGTTGAGCTGAGCAGGAGTAGAAGATTGTGGTATTTTGTTGAGGCCGGCAGTCATGTAGTTTGGATAACAAATTTCTTTCTTGTGTTCGTATCTTCTTTGTATTTTCTCCAATTTTGAGCATAAAAAGGTAAGATCAGTTTTCTCAAGCTTAATCTTTTGTCATGATAGGTAAGGTGTGTTTTGGTGTGTTTCATTTTAACGTGGTGAATAAGAGCCCGAGGCTATACTCGGAACTCCCGATCTTATTGGTCAAGGTACCCAATGACTTTTATTTGGAGTTAAGTATATTTGGGCAGAAGTACAGCGTTGGTGTGTTTGAAAGATTTTGACAAGGCAAATTATATTAATTAGGACTTTTTTGAGAGATTTCTTTAAAATGCCAATTTTGAGGACAGATCACTAGAATAGAAAGGCAGAAGCCATGACAAAGTTTTAAACAAAGAAAATGATGATTATGCTACTGCATCCGGTGCATTTGATGATGTTTCGACAAAGCCTGAGGAGGCATAGTCTCTATGCTTGTATTTCTGATGCTGTATTTTCTGAGGTGCTGTACAACCTTTATTGATTCAGTTAGTTATTTATTACTTTAGTTTCAGATATTGTGAAATGTTCTATCTTGCTGCGCTTATGGCCATAATTATGACCTTGGTAGGTCTTAGTTATCTGTTTTAGTCTTCTATGGACTGCCACTATGATCATATGATGTAACCACTGGATTTGTGGAAGGCAGGCTCATGGTGTAGCTTCAGTATAGGATCTGTAATTTGAATTGGATTTCTGTGGTGGTTATAGCTAGCACTCGAGGAAAGAAATTTCAAAACTATTCTGTCCAAACATGGAATTTAAATGGAAATTGGGACAAATTGATAACTTAAGCGTAATGAAAGTTAATTTTTTTAGGAGATCCTCGACTGATTTGATTCTAATTGTGATTGTATTATGAAGATGGAGTGATTATTTTTATATTTTTTATTTCTTTCAAAGTATTTTTATATCTACTTTTGATAAACCCATTTCTCATCTCTTTAAGGCCTCATAATGTCAAAACCTCATCAAAGTAAAAACCACTTCAAAATAGGCCCACCCTTAATTCATTTTTCTCCATCTTAGGTCATCATAATGTCCAAATTTCCTCTAAATAAAAACATGTTTAAAAAATCCCTGATTTTCTTGTTTTTGTAGGCACGATAATATTAATTTCCAAAAGTTTTAGATATGATTTAGAACATTTTTTAAAGTGTTTTATAACAGGTTTTCATAAATTGTGCTGTTGAGCATTGGTGGTCAAGTTATTTAGCTTTGGGACTCGATACTCCAGTGAAATGAGTAACTGGTTACAAATTGAGTACCGATATTCAATGTCACAAAGGAGTGAGTATCTGGTTACTCAAAAATTGAGCATTGGTTACTCAAATTGGGATTCAAAAGCTTTGGGTTTTTAATTTAAAAAACATCTCCTACTTTGATCAAAACTTTCTTATATCGTTCTAAATCAGTTTCTAAGTGACAAGGATCAGGACGGAGCCACATTGGGAGTGGGGGGCGCTCGGCCAATATGGCTCCTAAATATATATACTTATTTTTATTTTAATGTATGTAATTTTAAAAAAATCAATAAAATGTCATCCCCATAAAAAATTTCACTTCCTAATATGTTCCTTGGGCCCAATGTGGCTCTTCAAAACACACACACACACACACATATATATTATTCACTTTGGTGCATGTAATTTTTTAAAATTTTACTAAATGTCCCTATAAAATTTTCCTTTTTCTATAAATCTCTCTTACTCTTTCTTGCTTTTCTCTTTTACTTTTTTGTCTTATCAAGTTTCTTGGATCCCTTCAAAAAAAAATTGCATTTACTTTCTTCAATCAAACCCTAATTTTCCTCTCCAAAATTCTTCCATTTTTATTTTCTTCTTCGTCTTCTTTTATATATATATATATATATATATTTTCTTCTCTTATTATTATTATTTTTTTCTTCTTATTCTCTCTCTCTCTTTTCCATTTGTTCTTTAAATTTCACTGCAATTTTATGAACTTAATGCTCTAATTTTATATTTTTGAATTTTTTTACTATATATTCTAAAGAATAATGACATAAAATTTGAATTTAGATTACTGAAGTTTTATATTTTGGTTTGTTGTTTTGCTGCACTATTAGTTGGGAAAACATATTTGCCCCATGCCGCCCCCCCCCCCCCCCCAGCCCACACACATCTCTCCTCTTCCCCCCCACTCCTCTCTCCTCTTCCTGAAATAAATTCTTCGCTCCATCCTTAGTCAGGATGAGGAGGAAGATTTTTATAGAGATCTTATTTTCTTGAGTTTCAAAAAGTTCTTCTGCAGCAAGGTTTTTGTTCACCTTGCACCCAAAGCTAATGAGAAAATAGAGTGCCTTAATTGTGTGATAACATTGTGACTTCTTTAGTTTAATAAGACAAAGTTTCAAGCAGTGAAGTTGTGATCATATGTAAATGTTTGGATGACTGAGTTCGGAAAAGCAATCACTGAAGAAGACGAGAATGGATCGCAGGAAAAGTAGTTTGTTAGATGACTACAATGGAGAGTGGGAGGACTTTATGGAGTAAGTCTAGTTCGAAGGTATTAGAAGGCTAACTTGTTAGATGAGCTTTTTTAACTTTTTAAGGATTGTTTGCCTTTGTACTAGGTCCTGTGTTTTTTCTGCTATGTTCAAGATCTTGTATTTCATGGTTGTTTGATTACTTAATTATTTTATTTCACTTTGTTGCTTTGATTGATGGATAAAAATAAGTTAAAACATGGGCATAATTTGAAAGAGACCTATTCAACTCCCTTACAGGCCTAATCACACATTTACATGTGTGCCCCAAGTTTCGTAAATATGCTCCATTGATGTTGCGATAGAAATCTTATATGCTCTGACTTCGAGGGAAAGCTGGGAATGGATTTTCAACTTCCAACAAACCAATCCCCCCCCCCCACCCCACCCCACCACCCAAAAACCCCAATTTGCCTTTATGGGACTTTCTAGATAGAAAATGCCAAGTATGGGACTGCCATATGTCTTTTATTTTTTTTGGGTAGTGTACTGTTGACATAAATATATAGCCAGAGGCCCATACCTCGATACCATGTGAACTAGTGTAAATCGATAAGTGATATATTGACTATATCCTTAAAGGTTGAAGCCTATAAAGGGAAGTCTTTAGACCAACTTGTGGTCGAGAAGCAAGATGATCGAGAGGGTGGTGTGATGGATGATTAGGAATCACAAAAGCTGCTTGATCAACCCATGATCAAGAGAAGCAGTCGAGCCTCTCAAATTACCTCATGGTCGTGAGATACTTGACCATAGAGAGTTAGAAGCATTGATGTGGGTAGTAATCAAATCAAGAGGATTTTGGTGAAAGCTCAAAATAGTTGAGTATTTGGTTTGAGTATTAATGAGAATCAGAGGTATGCCAAAAAAGGAAAAAGGGCACTAGCCACAACCCACAAGTTAGGATAGCTCAGATAGTGACAAGTCACACTTCCGGTCAGCATGGTTGGTGGAGAAAGCTCAAAATGGGCAAACAGTTGAAATCTACAATTAGGAGAAGTTCAAAAGCCCATAGCTAGAATTAGTTATGAGAAACATGAAGTTTGCGTGACACATGTATGAAGGTTCAATGCTGTCAAAGGCTAAGATCAACAAGAATGGTCATGAATAGTCACTTTCACTCTGAATTCAACCGCCACCTAGGGGAATGTGGGCTTAATATAGGCCACACCAAGCGAAGACTTATATAAATAGAGATCTAGTTTCACAAGCAAGAGGACCCTGAGGCCTTTATCTTCCATAGCTTGTAGCTTTATCTCCCATTTAGCTTTAGTTATCAGTCACTTTAGTTTCTTAGCTTCTAGCCAATAGCTTAGCATAACTTAGCTATATGGTTTTTATCTCTTACATTCAATCTTTTAACTTAGTTCCAGTAGGTATTGGTTTTAATCACTTATGCATTATCAATGGCGTTCATCTTTTAGTTATTTTATCTCTCCATGTATTTGCTCAGCTTCTTCTAGTCACTATGATCCCTACAGCACTTACCATTATCCATCTCAATCTCACCATCAACCACCGGGGAACTTCTAAGTCCTTATTATCAAGGTAGTGTTAACCACACTCCTTGGTACCAAGGGAATGACAACCCACAGGAGTGGCTCCCTTGTCTCTTTACAGTGACCATACCATCATTTCTACAGACCATTCTCAGTCATGGTCAACACAAGGAAGTATGGTTCAGATCAAGTTGTCTGAGATGCCCGCACATCACCAGTTCAAGAAGAACCAAAAGATGAGCGAACAATAATTGGAATAGGATGCAACACGAGGTAAGTGTGTTTATTTTATTCATGATACGATACTTCAATCATCATGCACAAGGGAAGAAAGTACGCCTGTCATTTCTTCTTTATACATGTACAGTGTTTTTCACCATTGCACAAAGTATGAACACACAAAGCTAATAACATGAACATGGAATTTCAGTAACCTGAAATTTTCTAGATTCATGTACTTAGGAATGCATCAACCTTGATGTTTGTTGCCCTTGATAAAAACTTCATGCAGATTGGTGGCTTTACCTTAGCTATAGCTAGTATTGAACTAGGCAATGTCCATATTCCATCACCACAAATTAATCCCGAAGCTACTGCGGGGCCAAATGCATCTGCTTGTGCCCTGTTCGTCTTCTCCCAAATAAAAAGTATCAAGCTCCCAACACACATATCAATGGCAAAATAAGATCCAACATAGAATGGTATAGCCATTGCCATTGGAAGAGGGATAAATTTTGCCCATTTCTTTGGTATAGCATCTTTGATCGCGTTGATAATCATTGCTGCAGCGAAGAACACATAGCAAAGGAGGAGGCAATTCTTTGGCAAAGACGAGAACCCTTCCACACCCAATATTGATATGTTCCTGTAAATGACTGCGTAAGGTGCAGGGTATTCTGAGCCCTTGGTCCCAAGATCATGGAAAGCTTGGTGGAAGAGCCAAAAGACACAAGGAGATATTACACAACCCATTGCAGTCCCAATCACTTGACTCGCAAACATTGATCTTGGTGAAGCCAGTGTCATGTACCCGGTCTTAAAATCCTGCATTAGGTCGGAAGCTGTAGATACAATGTTCATCATGACGCCACAAGCAGCAAGACCTGCTAGGACCCCTCCATGAGATTTTCCAGCCCATGCTCCAATGGTGAAAATGGCAAGCTTCCCATAAGTTGAGGCGAGTGACCAGTCAGTCAGTCCAGACCCATATGCATTACAGAAAGCTAGGACTGGTGCAAAGATGTAAATGACCAAGACATGGTACCATTCGAGCTGTGGAAAAATGTGGGGAAGAGATATTATGGATATAGTAGCAATTGAAACATAACCGCCGATTGCTAGCCATGTTGGTATTTGGTCTTTGAGAAAGAGTTGGGTCCTGCACTGGTCATCGAAGGAGGAAGATGGTACTTCAGGACAGGGGTGATCGGCCAGTGGAAGGATGGTGCCCATGTCTTTCTTCTTTAGCTGTTTAGACAAACCAACAATTGTTCGGCTTATCACTTTGAAGAAGTTGTAGAGTCCATCTCCAAGGATCATGGCAATTGCAATGAAAACCTGCAATACAATCACATTATAGCTGCTTCATTAGATTAGATAAGAAGCTTCAAAGATGATGGAACTGCAATAAAAATGAGATCATTGGATGTATGAAAATTTTCATTCTATAGAAAGATGGAACCAAAACCAGACCATGAAAAATTGTGAGTGGACATTAATTACCTGGTAACCTTGGATGCCATGGAGGCTCCTAGGGTTGAGGTCGTGATACCAATCGCCCTTTCTGTTTTCGATGAGAGGCCACATTATACCCCATGACAGTATTGCTCCAATCAATAAAGAGATGTTTATTATGTATGGACAGATCATCCCCACTCCGATGAATGTTGCAGAGAAATCGAAGTAGAACCTGTTTTTTTTTTTTTTTTTGGCCACAACGCTGACTGAATTCAGACATATTAAGTAAAGCTCTGTATATCTTTGAAGCAATTGACTGATACTTGTCTTTTAAGCAATGGATAAGTATACCAATACAAGTAACTGATTCTTGTCTAATCAAAATATCGTTTTCAATTGTGATCAAATAAATTGAAAATTCTGTCCTTCTATATTGCCAGGAATCAAACACGTAAAAATAATCTGTTTATGTGCAGATATTTTAGAGATAATATCCACAATAATAGAGAGTGTTGTTGGGTACCTGTTTTTATAGGCTTCAAGGCCAAATGTTGGGAATTGTGCAAAACCACAGTCAGGTGCTGCAGTGAAGAACCATTGGAAGAAGGCCCACACAAAGCTGAAGGAGAAGAACTTGCCCAGAGTTCTTACTTGTTTGCTAAAATTTCTCAGAAGTAAAATAATTATAATTTAGAACTTTGAATTACTTAATGTGTTCTCATGATACAGACTGCAACATGGTATTTAATTAGTGATAAAGTCATCATACTCAGCCAGTTTGGCTCCTTGAGGAGTGTGGAAGCTGTTGATAAGATGAGCAGTTGCTGTGCCACTTGGATATGTCAGTTTGAAGTCTATGATCATGATCTGAAAATGCATTTACAGATTTGAAATCTTTAAAAGAAAAAAATATGAAGATAAGAACAAAAAACTGTGGGTGGGGGTGAATAAGAGCATTGATGCATCAAGAATTTGATGGAAGGTAATGATGTGTGAAGTGAATCATATACAAAATAAGGCACAAGGTCTTCGTTATGTTTAAAGGCTATTTCAGTTGCATGCTGAATTTAGCAGTACTTTTCCTGAGATGTGTTGACATCTTATGCTAAAAGAGGGGTGGCATATTTGTTTCTTTTTGATCATTCGAGTACCATGTGTTTTGATATTCAACTGTCTTTTTTGTAGGATTTTTCATTAGGGCTAAATAGTTGTGTGTGTAGGAGACAAGTTCGTGGGAAGTACCTTCCGAAGAGGCACCACAGAGAAGAGGCCGAGGAAACTAACAACGAAGAGAAAGGGAATCATCCATCTCAAACTTGGGTTCTTAATATTTTGGGGATTGTTGCCTTCTGTTGACTGATCGGCAGTTACTTGGCTCATTCCAAGGAGATAGCTTCCAAAACCCCCTGTTTGTTCAAAGTGTCATAATATGGTAATACCAACAATCCAAAATGCGAAGTTGGCCTGCTAAAAAATTGAATCTAGATACAGGGGCTAGATATAACTCAGAAATGAATCATATGATAGTAATTTAGCACAAACTACAAGCTCATCTAAATCATATTCAGTTGGAAGTTGGAACATAGAAGCACCATCTACGTTCTCTCGTCCAACACTGCCTAAAAAATCAATTCCCATATACAGAGAGAGGACATACCGCTAAAGGCAATACCACAGGTGGCAACAACGCATGTCTGAATAACAGTATTCTCTTGCCTGGTAAAAGGTCGCTTCAACAAACCAGATTTCTCCAAGAACTTTGTCCAAGTTTTAATGAAGAAAAAACCCAACAACCCAGCTGATACATTCAGAGAGGGAATGATAACACCTGTGAGGCTGAGCTTCATCACTATGAAGCTGAACAGGACACCCAACACAAAGCTCACGACGAAAGCTCTCAAGGTCAGCTGCCTATGCCATGGAGGTACCTTCTTGTCCTTGAATATCATCTCTATGGACTGCACTTCTTCCTCACCAGCTGTGTTGTCCTCTTGCTTCTTTTCTTCAGTTAACTCCCTCTTACGCAATGAATTATCGTGGGTAGGTGTAATGTCTGGCTTCCCAGCCTTCTCATCGTTGCAGTTGCTCTCCATGTGAGGATCTGTGGAGGAAATTTTTTGGCTGTGGAGGCTTTGAGGGAATTAAATGGGTTGTTTATACATTGTTGTGCATGCATATATAGCAAATTTGATATGTGTTTATGATGTGAAAATTTTTGCTATTGTTGTTTTCTGACTTTGTATGCATGAATGGACAAAGTGCATGCCAATGTTTTTATCGCTAAGAAACATTTTGGTGCTGGTGACATGGCAAAGTTGTTTCCATAAGGATTTACACCCTTCAATTGGGAAAGTGTAACTAAGAAAAATTACCATCTGGAGTTGATTTCAAATGCAATTAATTATTCACATGGATCTCCTTCACTGTCTTGTATTTATAAGCTACAAAATATTAGGAGATTATTCAATGTACATAACATACTCAATGTTCAAACAATTTGATCACTTGGACATTTTGAAGTAGGAATTTACATTAAAATTATAACATGTTAGTTTCCTACTACGTAGTTTTGATTTTTTTTTTCCCCCTTCTTGAAAGTGGCTATTTACAAATTTGCTTTGCGTTGTTTTGTGTTAATCACATTATAATTTGTGCTTTTTTTGTTTTTAAAATAAATTTGCTTCAGATTCTTTTTCTATTACTTATTTGTTTATGTATTTTCTTTGTTAGGGGTGCAGTGGGGGGAAGCTGTAAGGGCGGTGAAATGGAATTGAACTAACACCATGTGCTTCCATTACACCCCATCTTCCACTGTAATCGCAGAGAAACAAGTGAGCCAATTTAAATAAGTTTTATTTTTATTTCATTTTCATGATTGTGTTGAACTAAACTTATATTAGTTGCAATATAATAATCTCAATTTACCAGTACGCAATTGCTAAACCAAGACAATTATAGTATAGTTTCATCATATTATAAAAAGAGTTGAACAATTGTAAAGGTAAACTAATGTTTCAGTTAATTTACTCACCAAGTATAACATGTATCTGTTTGTGTCTATTTGTGTGTATTATATGTATATATATATATATATATTTGATAGGTTAGCTATTTTCGGATAGACTTTCAGTATGAACTTTCAAGAAGTGGTTTCTGTATTCTGATATGCCATATTTGGTCGGCTATTAGGAAAATAGTCTCATTCATAATCTTATTATCATCCTATTTTAAAGATTATTGTAATGCCATTGATAATAATTGAAAAAGATCCATGAATTCTTTATTGTTACTTTTATAGATATATTCAGGTGTCATTGCCTAATACAACTGTAATTGTGTGTGTGTGTTTTCTGTCTTTATATATTAGCACCTAGCGTGAGTTAGAGAAATATAACACACAAGCATATATATATATATATATATATATATTCGGTAATTGACATACATATACTGATAGATGCTTGATATAATTTATAAACAAAAACAAAAAGCGATCCTAATATAATATAAGAAAAAGCGATCCTGCAATTATTTGTTCATGATTACATATACTGTTTCTGGTTTGACCTGTTTCCTTAATGTTTGTGTTGGTGAATCTGAGTAACTTTTGGAGTGTTTATTTGTACATGGTATATTGATAAGCGCCGAATATTGCATATTCAAGCGCCCTTATTTGCATTAGTTAAGTCCGTTAGTTGGTTATACTGCATATATTAGTTTTATTTGCATGCTTTTGTCTATTTTCAAGTTAGTTCCCCAAAGGAAGTTAAAAGTGATGCTTTGATAAGTTTTTGAAGATCAAAGTACGTCATTGCCAGGACCGTCATTTTGGCCAGGTCAAGTGATCCATGGAATTCATGATACTCTTCGCACAATGTTTGAGGAGGAAGAGTTTCACCATCAGTCCGCGCAAAGAGGGTTCAAAAGCAAGAATTTCATAGCAGAAGCCCAGGACTCGCAGGCGCCCGCCCAAGACCCGCGGGCACCCGTCCATTCGGGCAGAATCTTCAGGACTCGCGAGCGCCCACCTAGAAGCCGCGGGCACCAGCCAATCAAGCCAGTACCCTCATGCACCCGCGGGTGCCCGCCGTTTTGGGTAGAATTTTCGAACTTCCGCGGGCGCCTGCCGATCTGCAGACAAGTGGGTATAGGTCTGCATTGTTTCCTTCAAGGCTGTCCCCTTGACCCATTGTGTGGTCCTGATTTCTCCTAGGGTTGTTGAGCCACGAAAATGAAGGGAAAATGAGGATGTTTTTGGCTAGATAAGGACTTGGAGGCTTGTATTGTCTAATATCTCACTTTTGGAAGGTTTTTTTAGAGTGAGAAATATTGTGAGCTTGAGTTTTGTGAGTCTTGGAGACCATAGGTGCGAAAATGGAGTTGAAGATGATCTCTTCTCCTTCCTTCCTTGCTCCTATGGGTAACTAACTCCCTATCTAGGGAGGTGATGAAGCCCTCTCTAGTAAGCATGTCTTAGTTTTATTTAATTTGGGGAATGATTCATGTACATGGTAGTTCATGATCTAGAGCACTTTACATTTTTGTAAAGTCCCAGTGGTTCGACTTACTCGTCCAATAGCCCTATTTTACAATGATTTGTGTTATTGCAAATGGTTGATTGTTATTGATAGTTGACGAGATCCCATCATATATACTAGTGTGTGTGTGTGTGTGAATTTGCATGTTTAACAACAAACAGCCACTTGGCATTGTCAAGAATCCAATGGTGGACCTTGAATCTTCATATATTGTTATTGAATAATGGGATTTATACATTCAGTTTCATAATTAACAAATAGAGTCAGAAAAGCGTAGTTTGCGAAAAACGACATCATTTGGTACGTATAAATCAACGAGATACTTTTGACATTTGCATACAAGAAGAATAGTCTTGTGTGTATGCATCCAAATTATGAAATAATATTTTAGGGGGAGGAATATTTTATATATATATATATATATATATATATATATATATATATATATAATAGGAAGGTTGGAGGATGAAATATGGGATGCTTTGATAAGGACTTAGAATATATATTAGGAAGGTTGGAGGATGAATATTCCAAGTCCTTATCAAAGCAACCCATAATTCCCATTGATTAGGACCATTTCTTGTTAAAAAAAGTCAATTATATACTAATTATATTTGTTGGAATATGATTGACAGCTACATATATTCATGTATGAGTTTTATATTATGTGTTTAGTCAACTTTTCACATCTGTCTAGCTCTGCCAAAATCCTGCAGGTTGTATAGACGATTCAATTGAAGCAGGAGCTTTTTCAAACACATCTTGGAGTGCTTACATCTTTTGTATCAATGCAGTTTAAATTCTTGTATTTAACGTATATACGCGCAAAATCCTGTCTTGAAGTAATGTTATCATGCTTGATCGGTTTTTTGTGCAACTCCAACAGATGGAGTCAAACAAGGACGCTTTGTCAATAATAGATACACGCTCTTTCACTCCTCTTAAAGTCTTTCTATCAATGTAATAACGGTTTAAAAAAACCGATCTTCAACGCCAAAATTGTTGTCCGTACTTACTGCATGGTTGTTTAGCCACAGAAAGTGCATGAACTTGCTCAAATCCAACTGCATTATCTTTGCAGTGGAGTTAGGTAAAGAGATTGTGAGATTGCTATTTATGGAGTTGGAAGACTAGAATAAAATATTTTATTCATATGTTTGGCAAATTTGGGAGTCGAAATTTTATGGAGTTGTAACTCTTTTTCACTTTTAAGTGGTGTGTTTAGTGTCTTAAGTTTCAAATTAGATGAGACCCAGTGGCAGCATTAGAAATTTACTATAATGGGGTGGCATTTTATTAGTATTATTTATTTATTTATTTTTCTGTTAGGTAGAGAACTCTTAGAAGTTTGAACAATAATAAGATAAAATTATCATTTAAATTTTAAACATTATTATTCAAATGGCCTTTATGTTTGACTAGTTTGAATTTGAAATCGGAAGAAATTTAATTAAAATTTTGAACTAAATCTGTTTTAATTTTAAATTTAAGGTGTTGATTTTTATATTATTATTATTTTTCCCGATTTAAGGTGTCAATTCGGTGTTATCAAATGCAACATAAAGATTTACGAGTCTTATTTGTTCTGAAAACGTTATATTTTATGATAGACTTCTTAAACTCAGAGTCCAACCCTAATTGTAAAGCTTTTTCCTAGATAAATACAAATATTGTCGTGTTGATTTTGCCCTATGCATTGTTTGCTGCAAATTTTTTATCATGGTAAATATAATCTTTAAAAATGTTCTTTTTCTACCACAATTTTCTCCATATTCTTCATATATTTTAAGCCTTCCAAATTATAGAAGATAATCGCATGCACATAAAGAAAATAGATAAAAATCATAGACAAACCTATTATTTAATGGTAATTAAAGAGTAGAGAATGGTGGTGGTGTAAGAAAGATCAAAGCCAGGAAAGAAAGAAAAGAAAAGAAAAAAAAAGAAAAGAAAAGAAAAAAAGAAAGAAGATCAAAGATCTATGTCATTAGCATGATGCTCTCTTTGGTAATGATGGATGGATGGATGTCCACCCCTCATTTGTTTGTTGAATGGAAGAGAAGGAAATGGATAAAATTATGAGATAACAATTTGATATGTAAATTAATACAATTAAATAGGTTAATAATGTCATTTCCATTTTATTTAACAAACATCATACTTTCTCTCTCCTTTTCCACCACTTTTGAATGATAGCAAAAGAGTGGGTCTGGAGGGATGATATTGCTTAAGGTGCACAATAGAAACCTGTCATTTCCCTCCTCCCTCATACCAAACACACTATTACAGATGTGCCATGAAAGATGTTACTGATCCTCTCTTTTTGCTATTTTTATTTTATTTATTTATTTATTTATTTTTCCGATTTACCAACTAATCAAAAAATAAGTTAAAGGATCTGAACAGCCCACAAATTAACAGACAAGCTCACAATTTAAGTTATGATACGCCCACTAGGGAAAGAGTCCCTTTGAAATGATTTTTGGGAGGACATTTGAAATATAGACTTATATTTGTATGCATATAATTAGCGACTAGGCAAACCTCTTTATGCCTCATTCCATAATCTTAATAAGTGAAGTAACCCAAAAAAAAAAAAAAACACAAAAACTCTAAAATGATGGAGAATTATTATTCCAACACAAATGACGTCTATAGTCTGTACCAATCTTATTTCGGTACACTCAAATTGTATACTGATACAGATATGCAACCTCATTCTACAGCAGCTGCAAAATTCTCATAGAAGCAATTGTCGTCTCATTCATAACTCAGTCAAAACCTAAGCCTCACAGAATAGGAGCGAGAGCGGAAGCAGAGCACGAAAGTGGCAAAATCGCACGCGGAGCATTAAAGCGGCACCCGTTAAGAAGAATTGTGCGACTTAGGGCAAAACCACTCCTGTGTAATAAAAAAAGTTAACATAAACCAAGAAAATTGTAGAATACAATTACTTCCATCTAATTCAAACACAGAAAAAGTACAACAGTGATTTACACAACTGTAGTCGAACCAGCCCAATACATTTCTCTCCCAATGAAAAAATTAGCATACAACAAAATTGAGAATAATGATCTCAACAAAACTGCACCTAACTGCAAGCCAAATTACTCTATAGATACTGAACCTCCAAATTGAACAGAATTGACTTCCAATATCAAACAAAAAATGACATTTAGTTTTGTCCCAAAGCGCATTGCCATGTCCCAATTATTTGCTGTAACAACATAAATCAAATCCGGCAATTCAGGTCCTCCTGCTGAATTAAGCAGACACCTGAAATTAAAGAATTTAAACTTGTTAAGTCCCATTTTATATCTAACAAAACAGAAAATTCACACATATGGATAACATCACTCAGTCAACAGAAACAACAATGATGATAATTTTCATTACCGCTATTGTTTCTCAATAGCTCATTTCCTTGTTTGGAATCTCCACCTATAACATAAATAATATTTAAAATAAATAAAAAACCAGAAATACGATATTTAAAAACAAGTTTTTCTCTTTTTTTTCTACAAAAAAAAAAAAAAAAAAAAAAAAAAAAAAAAGAGGAAGAAATAAGGAAAGGAAAAAGAAAGAATACATAGCTTTCCTTTAAGATGTGTGTGTGTGTGTGTGTTGGTGGTGGGGGGGTTGTATTGCCTTTGCAAACCCTAACTCAAGATCTCACGCGTGTCTCACTCTTCCTGAAATAAAGCCCTAACTTTGCACAAAATAATCAAGAGGAAAGAAACCCTAGAATTTGCACACTGATTTGGCTGAATTAAATTACAAAAAGAATTATTCTATCTCACGCACAGACACAAATAAAATGGCCCTTTATTCTGTTACAACTATGATGATAATCGAAAGAGATGAAGTTGTACAAATATATATATATATATATATATATATATATATATATACTTATAGAGAGAGAGAGAGTGTGTGTGTGTGTGTGTGGAGAAATTGATTTTACCAGATCTGATTGGATCTTTGATTGTTCATATGTTAAGATCTGAAGTTGTACAAACATGTACGAATGTATTTTTTTTTTTTTTTTAAAAGGAAAAAAATATGTACTTACATATAGATAGAGATAGAGAGAGGAGTTGAGAGATTGATTTTACTATATATGTGGAATACTTATGTATAAAAATTGGTGGGAATGCCCCCGGGGGCGTAGTAGTGATGGTTAGAGCTTGGGCTTCCACATCCGAGGCCCGGGTTCGACTCCTAGCCTCTGCGTTCCCGGACTCACCCGGAGGTGTCCTTGGGCAGGGCTCCACCCTCCCAGGTTTGTACCCCACGGTGGGTCCCTAAGGGGCCCTGCGTGGGGGAGTTCCTGAGTCATCAAAAAAAAAAAAAAGATTGGTGGGAATGGCATTGATAATGGTAATTGATGAATGAGGTTCTGATTTTCATAGAAGGTGGACGTTGGGCAGCCATCTCGCTGGAAGGTCTCTATAAGATGCAAGGTATAATAGTGAAGGAGGGGAAGATGTTCCCAAAACCCCCCCCCCCCCCCCCCCCCCCCCAAAAAAAAAAAAAAAACTACAATGTATTTCGACACGCAGCACCTCTCCAACTAACGGAAAATCTGGATAAAGATTCTTCAATAAAGTATTTATAGATTCCCCAAAGTAAAAAAGATAAGAAGTTGCATAATCACAATATAAAGTATCTAACTTACTAAAACCCTCCTGCTATTCATCTGATTTTGCATCCTTCTTTCCCTGCAAATTGAACATGCAATCCTCAATAAAGCATCTAAGCTTCAGCAAGCCAAAATATATCACATTATGACAAGTACAATAATAGTCAAGAGTACCCCAAGAGTCGAAACTAAAATGCAGATAGAGTTTACAAGAATCTCTCTTTCAAAAAGTAACCATACCGCTACGATGATAGTCTTCCAAGTAGAATACCGCTAAATATAATAGCACCAAACCACTTATTGGACACAAATCTAGCACAAGAAAGAGAAAAGGGACAAGCAAGTCAGTACTTATCATATTCAGAAAGGGGCAAAAGCAAAAAAATAGTTGGTATTCAATGCATAAAACATAAATTCTTTATAGTGTTCACAGAAAATCAAAAGTAAAGAATAATGCACAAGACCAATCATAACACCATCTTATAACCCTTTATTTTGTTGGAATAACAGCCCATTGATCCTTGATGGCAGTGGTGGTGTATAAAGGCCAACAATGGAAAAACACACACACAGCACTGCTCCTACTTATCAATGAAAAAGAAGACACCCCCTCTCAATTTATTAGATTTTTCATCATTTGGAAGCCCATTGAACCTTGGTGGGGTACAAGGACAGGAGGCTGAATCTCAAGGGCAGCTGTTGCAATTGCATCCTCGTGAAATATGGAAATATTGAAGGAATCAAGAAACTTATGCTCTCTCTCTCATAAATAAAGTCCATCAATTACATTGAAAAGCAACTTTATAGGGCAATCAAGGAAAAAGAAACGAAACAAGGAAATACGAACCAGAATTGAAATAATAGAGCTGTGGACATGGTAACATGCCCATTAAGACTGTTAAGTATATTCTAGTAATCCAAAGTTCTATTTTCGAAATTTATCTGGTGGCAAGTTTCTGAACAAAATCTAAAGCACATTGATTCCAAATTATGCTCAGGCATAATTACTCCATATTGAGTTCAAGGCTTTCAATAATTTTTCTTTTTATGGTTATCACATCAAAATTAATATCTACATGCTAGAAATAGCAGAGCAATTGGAAAAACATAAGATCTACAGGATGACCAAAAAAACAGCCACAGAATCAGATATATATAGTTAACACGACTCAGACACAACCATTTGAAGAACAAAGTGAAGGGAACCAAAAAAAAAATACAAAGGGTATGTGTACGCAGTACACGTGCATGGGTAGACACATATATACATTTATATATATCTTAGATGGTGAGTAGTAAAATGAAGATAATCAGAACAAATATTGAGTAGAGTTGGGGGTAATCCCTCAATGAGAATCTAAAAGTTATGATCTTATTTTTAGGTAACTTTCTAGGTCACAATTCCACTAAATGGATAAAAAACAATGGTGCATCAATTTAAATAATAAAATCCAAGAAATCCTGCTTTCTTTGCATATGTGTACTAGACATCATATATGAGTTAGATTTATAACAGTTTTCAGAACTGTAATTCCATATAAAAGTTAATATTGTATGCCAGGGACCCCACAACAATATTTTGAACCAAATGTATAATTACCAAAATAATAATAATAAAAACAAACATATTCAACTTCAACTGAACTCAACAAGGCTTTACACAATTTTCTCTAAAAATACGCACTTTCTATTGCAATCAGCCCGACATGATAAATCAACAGTCCAAATCTGCCATGCTAATTGACCAGATGCAGCTGCCAAAAATGTATAATATGGCCACCCTACACCAGGGAAAAAAATGGGAAAGAGAAAGAGAGAGAAGAGTTGTTATTGTACGCATAATATAGTTAAAAAAAATAAGCAAACAAGAAAAGAAAATGCTAATAATACCAATATCAGCGTTGAATCCACTAAGGGCAAGGCTACTGATGCACGCTATTCCAAACCCTGTAACCCACTCCTTTGTTGAATCCCCAAACCTCAAGGCTGTAGACTTGACACCCACTTTCAGGTCATCTTCTTTATCCTGGATAAATGGTAATCAACCTCTTTAACAACAAGAAAGCTCTTTCTACCAGTTGTCAATTGGGTATTGAGTGTTTTTTCACCTACCCAACACCAAAAAAAAACAAAAAAACAAAAAAAAAAAAAAAGGAAAAAAAATCCTAGACTTTCACCCGAGCCTATATCACATATTTTTTTGTGCACCACACAAGGGGGGGGGGGGGGGGGGGGGGGGGTGGTGGTTTGAAATCAACTCAGATACATATAATAATATATACATATATATTGCATAAGCATAAACATCAAATTCAAAAACTTAAGTATTAGACAACATGACATATTGCAGTATTATCAATTAAGAGGCATTAAAAAATAAAAATAAAAAAAGATTTTTTTATTTTTTTTGATAAGTAAGATTTCATTAAAGGCACTCAAGAGGGGAGCGCTCTCAAGGAATACAAAGAAGCCTAAGACGGTTTATAAAAAATAAAAAAGATGTAAATATATGTAACTGAATAATTAAGAAAAGACAAACTTGTGCTAAACCAGTAACTACTAAAATTGCATGCCTTGGGATTTTATGTTTGCCTGATTTAAAAGGGTTTTGCCTATAGTAGGTTGAGGCAGTGCCAGAAGAGTCATGAACTTTTCAGAACCTAGGCATGTAACTGGCGATGATGGACTTTAGTGAGAACAACTATAAGATAAACAAATGAATTTTCAATCACTGCAGAGTCAATATTTAGCCCATAGTCGGTTTTTATTTATTTATTTATAAGTAATAATAAAATAAAAAGGAGTTCAAGAGGGGAACGCGTCCCTTAAACAAGCGTGGAACTAGGGCTAAGGCCCCAAAGAATCCAAGAAAATAATTAAATCATCAGAAGAGGAGCAAGAACTCCTCTTCACGTAATTGAAAAGAGAACGAAGAATGTAAAGTTTCAGCGTAGCCGTAGACGCCTCCTTCCCTTCGAACATTCTACTATTTCTCTCCTTCCAGATGCATCACCATACACAATGTGAGACAATTCTCCAAAAATCGCGTACATCCCTTCTAACACGACAACCTCTCCAAGCATGAATCAAATCCTCTCCAAGTATTTAGCCCATAGTCGTTAAAAGCACGCTTAGGCACCAAAGAGGCGCTAGGCACATCAATGCGCAAGTCTCGCACCAAGCAACTGCCTAGGCAAGCCATTTTTGGTAAGGCGCTCACCCTATTCCATATGCAAAAAGGGGCACTTCTGACTTAAGTAGAAACTTGTTAATGTTTTCTTTGCTTGTACTTTTTATTACCATCAGATTATTGTTTCACACCAATTACAATGATCTTGTATGATGCAGCGATCTCGTTCAATACTCTTAGTTATGATAGCTCTTCTATCGTGGTTGAACTATTAGACAATATGGTCCTGGCACAAAACCACCTAGTTTACATGAGGTAACCTAGTTATCACGATGTGAGAGTTCCTTTGCTCAAAGAGTTGGATGATACCAACAGTTTGATGAAGGAAAATAGAGAGGATTGGGTAAAAAGTGGATGATCGATAAAGGTAAACAGTTGGAAGGACAAGAGGGAAGAGACTTCCATTAGGATTTTTTTAGTATATTGCTAAGGGAACCATATTTCTTGAATATGTGAATGCTTCTTGTGGACCTAAAGGTTTTAACCAAGGGCAATCGAAACATTTTGATGATAATAAATCATTGGAAGTGTTGGATTAGTCTATTTGAGTTGTGCTAACAGGTTATACTTGCATAAAACTCAGGAGTGCTATGGCAAAGCCAAAAAGGGATCCAAAACTAAAAGATCATACATTAAAGCTCAAAGACATCAAAATTAAAGAATGGACATCAACCCAAAAGTTGAAAGATGAAATCATTGAAGATTTGGGGTAGATAGTATCGGTGAGAGCTAGACTTTATTGTAAAGTTATTTTAGAATAACTTTAGTTGGAGCTCAAATCTAGGACCATGCATTAAAATTCATATCCATCACGAGTCCTTTGATCATAAGCAAATTGGCCATGAATTTCATTCTTATACTTCATAAGGCCTTTGCTCAGATTGAGTTAGTTCAAGCTTTTGTAAGCTTTGGAAGAACTCAAATGTTGGAAACATAAACCAGGACCACACACTCAATACATATCATTTGATTTGGTCTCTTGGTTTAAAATAAGGCTTTGAACTCATTTGTTTCAGATCTTGAAAAGCCTTAATTGACTATGGGACAATCTCCAACCTGGAATACCCTTCAAATATCATCAGTCACCTTGAAAGTTGACATAGCGGAAGTTAGATAAATAAAATTCTCACACTGAGATTATAATAAAAACAGAGCAATGCTCTTAAGAGATACACAACTGGTTTTTCTTTAATTCATTTGACTTAAGATGCCCCAACAATACAAAGGTGAGTACCTATTTATAGCCTCAATTGAATTTGCTCACCAAGTTAGAGAATGCAACTTACATTCATATTCATAATGGTGCGGACCCCACAATAATAATGGCAATGCATGAAATGGCCATTAAGCATTAATAAGTGAGCTCCGTAAATATTCTCACACATGTCACCTTGCTCACCAAGTTAGAAAATGCAACTTACATTCATATTCATAATGATGCGGACCCCACAATAATAATGGCAATGCATGCGGTGGCTGTTAAGCATTTAATAAGTGGGCCCCGTTATTCTCACTTATTCTCTCACATGTCATCATTGCACATTTTTTTTTTACCTATTTATATATTATATATATTAAATCATGGATGTCCTACAGATTGAATTTGCTTTCAATAGCATGTATAATTGATCCACTAGAAAAATGTTGTTTGAGATTTGTCTATACTAAAGCCCCAAGGCATGCCTTAGATTTGGTACTGCTACCCAAAATTCCAGGATTGAGCATTGCAGCAGAGAATATGGTTGAAAGAATCCAGACTATTCAAGCCAAAGTCAAGAAGAATTAACTGACGTAGGGGAAGCTAGATAAATAAAATTCTCACGTAACAACAAAGCAAAGCTCTAAAGATAAACCAGCTTTGTATCTCTTTAGAGATAAACCAGTTGTATATCTCTTTAGAGCTTTGCTATGTTGTTATTATATTCTCACTATGAAAATTTCATTTATCTAGCTTCCGCTACCTGAGTTGGTATCAGAGCCTTGATTTACCCTTATCTGATGGCAAATGATGATAATGGTAGCAACCACTTTTGTGACGAAGAGCGCGGAGTGTAGGCCCTTTGGGTAGCCATACATGCTCAAGAACATATGCTGTAGGAGATCCAACTTGCAATTGTTGGGCTTAGGGTTGGAGACAACCAGGATCGTGATCTTGCTCGGGTTCATGTCGGAGATGTTCCTCGCGGCCAACCGAATAGGGGTAACCTTCCTGTACTCCACTTGGGCCTCTAGTCCATGCGGAGTATTTGAGTGATAAGGAGTATAGAGGACTCGAGACGGATCGGCATGATCGAGCTATGCCTGATAGGAAAAATAGAGATCCGGAAACTCGTGATTTTTGGATGAAAATTGATCTACGCAGTGTCAATGGACATCTTCATATTGAAGGTTTCCTTGATTGGATCATTAATGTTGAGCACTTTTTCGAGTATATGGATATACCCGAAGAGAAGCAAGCTAGCTTAAGGGAGGTACTTCTCCCAGGTGGGAGCAAACATAGTGCAACCGCATAAGACATGGAAAGCAGCTTGTCCGAATGTGGAACAAGATGAAGCAATTGCTGAGATCCAAATTCCTACCACCATACTATAAACAAATGTTGTACCACCAGTACCAGAATTGCGAGCAAGGGAATCGATTTGTTAATGACTTTCAAAGGAATTTTACACATTAAATGCACGCAATAATCTGTCACAAGCAGAGAGTCAACAGGTGGCGAGAGATATTGGGGGATTGCGGGTAATATATATTTGGGTAAAAAAAAAAGGTGCAATAATGACATGTGAGAGAATATGTGAGAATATTTATTGCGCCCGCTTATTAAATGCTTAATGGCCACCTCATGCATTGCCATTATTATTGTAGGGTCTGCATCATTATGAATATGAATGCAAGTTGCATTCTCTAGCTTGGTGAGCAACGTGACATGTGAGAATATTTACGGGGTCCACTTATTAAATACTTAATGGCCACCTCATGCATTGTCGTTACTATTGTGGGGTCCGCATAATTATAAATATGAATGCAAGTTGCATTCTCTAACTTGGTGAGCAAGTTCGGTTGAGGCTATAAATAGGGACTCACCTTTGTATTGTTGGGGCATCTTGAATCAAATGAATTAAAGAAAATTTATTTATGTATCTCTTTAGAGCTTTGCTCTGTTATTATATTATTCTCAGTGTGAGAATTTTATTTATCTAGCTTCCGCTACCCAAAAGTACTCAATACTTGAAATTCTATTGATTCAATCTGTCAAAGTCCTAACTCCTAAGTTTGTTGGAATTGAGCCTATATACTTACAATGTCAAAATTTCAGAAACAGGTTGATTCGGTTGATTGCCTTGAAAGCTAGAGTCGACTCATGCTATCCTTTGAACTCTCCTTGTGAAATTGATCTACTCAGTCAACTTATTCACTCTAGAGAGTTGGGCCTTACTGATGATTCAAATGTCAGTAAACTGATTTCCTTGGATCAATCAACCTGGACAGTCCAAAGAGTTTTAACACTCTAAAGGACATACGACTAAATTGACCCATCTATTTGAATCAACTGAGCTATCTAGCCTAGTCATCTGCTTCACAAGCAAGTCAACTGGTTGTATTCAAACTCTAAATTCAAACGGCTAGTTCAGTTATCTCTTCAAGCATTAAATGCTTTCAACAGCTCTATTTTTTAAAGAAGACTATATATATGTGGCCTTGGATGAGCATAGATGTATGAAAATACAGAGGCAACACTCTTGAGCTTCTTGATCATCATTCACCGTTTATCATAGACATTCATCTTAGATTGAGCTATCAACTGAGTATTCAATCTTAAATCTAGGATTTTGGGCATAAACTTGTACAAATCTATCTTGTGAGAGATACTCCATTGTACACCCAAGGCTTACTCTTGGCTTTTGTGTGAGAGAGATTACAGGCTTACTTCCAGCATTTATGTGAAGGAGATAGGCTAACTCTCAGCCTTGGTGTGAGAGGAGATAGGCTTACTTGCAGCCTTTGTGTGAAAGGAGATAGGCTCAGTTTCAGCCTTTGTGTGAAAGGAGATAGGCTAACTCTCAGCCTTTGTCTGAGAGGCGTAACAATTTTGCTCTTCACCACAAAGATAGGCCCAAACTTCTGGACATAGAGAAGGAAAGCAGAGCACTGTCCACCCCAGTGATTTGGGATATCCTTAGGCGAAAGCTTGAGACGAGGACGTAGGACAGAGATCCAAACCTCGTAACATATTGTAGTGTGAAGTTCTTTATCCTTTAACTCCATTACTGTTATTATTATTGTTTATGCCTGTGGTCCCTTGTATTCAACAATAATCGAAAAAACTACTAACACTGTTTGCCATAAGAACCACCCCCTACCTCTCTCTTCCTAGGGTCATTACTTGGGCTACACTTCTTGTGCTAAAAGTAGGGATAAGATGTTTGAGCACAAGAAAAGATAATTTAATTTCTTCGTTTTAGTGAGTCATTTTAATAATAATAAATAGATATGATTTTGCACTTCCCTTTATATATATATATATATATATATATCACTTCTGTAATTTTACACTTATTTTGGGACGGAGGAGCAATTAACATAAAAGCTACGAATATAGAACAGGTAAATCCAGTATGCTGGTTTCATAAAAGGAAAATGACCAATAGGTTACAAGGAGAACCTCCTAAACTCTCTGAATATCTGAGATAAAATGACGGGAAAAGAAAAAGAAAGCATATGCATCCCTGCATATGTATATTTTACCCAAATTTGTCATTGTATATGTGCTTGTGATATAAAGTTTTAAAGCTGCTTAAAATTTGTTTCTGACAAAAAAGGAAATAAGAGGAAAAAAAATCTCTATAAGCTTTCTTGGAAGAGAAGAGTGTGTGGGTGTGCGTATGAGAGAGTTTAAATCATGGATTTTTGACATTGCTAAGTGTTTAGGAGTGAGGTACTTGGTCGTAAGAAGTTATAGAGTATGAAGTTATACAGCAGCTGGCCAACAATGCAAATGTTTATACATTTTGGACATAAATATTTCTACCTGATGTGCATATATTGTATCATACACAAGCGTCCAAAACACTCCAGAAAGATACAATGGGAGCACAACAACAGGATCAAGACTTCCTTTTACCGCAGCCCATCCCAGTAAAGCTCCCCAGTTAAATGTTAAACCTAAGTAGGCTTGAGGCTGCACCAACACAGAATCAGTTAACAAATATATTAATCAGTTTTCATAGAACTTTTATCAAGATACAGAATAATACAATATTAGCCGAGATCAGTACAAAAATCATTACCCAAAATGTCACCCTCTTCATCAGGGGATAAGAAAAAACCAGCAGCAAGGATGAAGCCCCTAAAATGCGACTGTTGGAAAGTACTTATGGTTAGAGCCATGATATAAAATCGAAGAACTCAACCGAATGGGGGAGCCGAACGGCTCACCCATTCGATTAAGTTTTTCATTGTGTTAATCGTTATTCTTATGGTTAATTAAACATTTTACTAATCACCTAGAAAGCATGATATACATCGTCAAAGTTGATTACGCCATAACTACAAACTAAAAGTGACATGCCATCATGGTTGTCTCTGCACACATTATTGTTATTGTTATAAAGGAAACTGCAAACAGAAAAATTAAAGTTTTTAATGGCCATCAGGAAAAATTTGTGAGCTTTTGTGAAAGTCAATGGATTTCTTGCAAAATTAAACTATATGAGGGGTAATAAGTAAAAAGATGATAGTTTAAGGGTTTTTTTTTGCAGTTTACCCTTATATCATCATTGTTGTTATTAACTAAAATGCATTCACTCATATTATTAGCGGTATCATTTTTCTTGTTTTCTTTGTTAATTGTATTCAAGTCATTTCAAAAGAAAGAGGAAGAAATACTCAATCCCACCTCAAAGACTCCCCAAAGAGAAATATACTCAGCCAGGAACAGTTGGTGAATTTCTTCTGCCCCTTCCCCCCCCAAAAAAAAAAACACACACACACACACGCACAAAGAAAACAAAACAAAATTGGCCTCTTTATTCCCCCAATTGAGGATCTAATAGAAAATCATGACAAAAGAGGTTACCCAGAGTCTCAGACACTAATTTTCCAAATGAAATGTGCACATTTTAGTAGCCTCCATCTTTATCTCTCGCCCACCACATAATAACTTCAAAAATCATCTTGCACCAGAAGTTGCCAGCCACCAAAATATTTGCTTCATCGAGTCCTTCAATTCATTGTAATAATCTTGTCAACCACAGGCTTAGTGTAAGGTGAAAAAGTATTTCCTTTATGGTCTCTAAAAAAAGCCTCCCATGTCACCCAGACTAAACCCATTGAAATCAAGCTTGACAGCACAAAAGTTCAGGATGGCTGACTTATGAGTCCTCAAAGAAGAGACCACCATCCAATCATTTTGGATTGACAAACAAGGGATACAAACTTCTTCAGAAAACTAAGACCTAAAGACAAAACAAGAACCTAACTTTCTCCTGCAAATCCTTAACATCAACATTCTTGCGTTCCTCTTGTCCTCATCACCCATAAAACCCCAGCAAAAAAGACACTTCCATATCCTTTTTCATTCTTGCCAAGGAATTGAATCGATCTAAGCCCCCATTTTGGATTGAGGAAGTTGGAAGGAAAAGAAAGGAAAGGAAATGGAGGGCAGCTCTATGTCGTGTTGGGTTTAAATTTGTGGAAGGAAAAGGAAGGATTTTGATGGATAGCTTAAACCCAGTAAACAGATTTTATATCCCAAAAGTGTGAGGAAATGGAAGGAGAGGAGAAAAATGTCAAATGAAACTTTTATAATACCGACGTTACACTTTTACTGATGAAGAACAAAAATCAAATTACATCTCAATCCTAAAGCATTCTTGTATGTTCCTCCTCCCTAATTTCGTTCAAACCCTAGCTACCTAAAAAAAAGGTATTATCGAAAATTCACTCTTATGGTTTACAACACTAAAAAATATATACTTTTTAATATGTTAATTGAATATTATCCATATAAATATAATGGATGCTTTTCCGGTGAAAATATTAGTTTGTAAACATATATAGCTTTATAGGATATTTTTTTTTTTTTTTTTTTGATAAGTAAAAATATATTAGAAAAACGTTCAAAAGGCGAACGCGTCCCTAATACAAGGAGAAAAAAGATCTAAGGACCAAAAGAATCCAAGAGATCAAAGAAATCATCAATCGAGGAACATGCATTTCCTATTATATAGCTTTACAGGATATAACGGTGGTGGGAAAATAATAACCTACCTTAATATTATACTTTAAATACAGAAGAGCATGATGGTAAATTTGTTGAGATAATTTACTTTCTTTTCTCTCCTCAAACATGAGCATCAGTTAACTTTTTTTTTTTTCCCTATATTTTCCCTCCTTACTTATCCAAACACATAAAGGGATTATACTATGATTTCCTTTCGTTTGTTTTCCGCCCATATTTAATGTTATCTTATCTTTTCTTTTCCCTCCAACTTATTCAAACGGACCCTTAAAATAAACTGAGAGAAACTGCCCAACTCAAGGCAACCATACCAAAGATTCTTCTCAACAGAGAAAAAAGAACTCCAGGGAAAATAGTTGATCAGCCGTTTCCCACTTTTACAAATGATGATAATATTTGGGAACATTAAGCATTAGGTCTTCTATTTTGAAAGGAGTTTATTGACATTAATATTCCAACACAACAATCCAAGCAAAAATTCACCTTTGGGAACACTTTTAGATTCCAAATTCTACTCTTTATCATTGCATGTTCCAAAACTCTAAAGGCCTCAAGTTACTCGGAAAACTAGAGCATTTCATCAGATATTCATAATTGGAGCAAAATAAAATAATAATAATTAAAAAAACACACTGACGTTATGTAAAAGCTTTTATTCGAGATGTAGACTTATGCCAACACTTGTTGAAAGCACTCTACCAAATGGACAAAATTATAGAAATTCTCTCTAGTGGTAAAAAAGATAGTATTGTCAAAAATCGTGATATAGGAAAAACAAATTTATCTTTTTTTTTTTTCTAGTTGGTACTCATATACACATGTCTCTTCTGAGACTTGAACCCCTGACCTCCCTTTGGGAAGTAAGAGGCTAAGAAGAGCAACGCCTCTGACATTAAGGACTTTCGGGCCAATCAGTTTAGTGGGGTGTATGTATAAGCTTATTGCCAAGGTCCTTGTTCTTAGAATGCGGAATGTTTTGGATGGAATCATCTCAGAGTCACAAAATGCTTTTGTTGGTGGTAGACAGATTTTAGATTCTGTTCTTATTGCAGGAGAATGTGTCGATTCCAGGTTGAAGAGTGAAGGTCCTGGTGTTTTATGCAAACTGGATATCGAGAAAGCTTATGATCACGTGAATTGGAAATTTCTTCTTTATTTGCTTCAGAGAATGGGGTTCGGAGATCGATGGATAAAATGGATTGAATCTTGCATCTCATCTGTTATGTTCTCTGTGCTTGTGAACGGCTCACCAACTGGTTTTTTTCCGAGTTCGCGTGGTTTGAGACAAGGAGATCCTTTGTCGTCTTTTCTTTTTCTTATTGTCATGGAGGGATTGAGTAAATTAATGAAAAAGGCAGAGAATCTGGGTTACATAAGGGGGTTCATTGTTGGCAGAGATGTTGCTAACCAGATTGAGATATCCCATTTGTTGTTTACAGATGATACCTGGTTTTCTGTGATGCTGATGTTTCCCAACTCAGGTATTTGAAGTGCATTCTTACATGCTTCCAAACAGTGTCTGGTCTTAAGATTAATGTTGGAAAAAGTGTGCTTGTCCCAGTGGGGGAGGTCTCTAATATTTCCACTTTAACTGCTGTTCTTGGATGCGGAGTGGGTGCCTTTCCACTCCCTTATCTAGGCTTACCTTTGGGAATCTCCTCCAGGATAGTGGGGACTTGGGATCCGGTGATTAACAGGTATGAAAAAAGATTGGCGGGGTGGAAAAAACAGTATCTTTTGAAAGGGGGGAAGGTCACTCTTATTAAGAGCACCCTCTCGTCCCTTCCCACATATTTCTTATCTCTATTTCAGATCCCGTGTTCTGTTGCTGAACGAATTGAAAAAATTCAGAGAGACTTTCTTTGGGGTGGAAAAGGAGAGGAGTTTAAGTATCATCTTGTTAATTGGGAGCAGGTTTGCAAACCGTTGAAGTTTGGCGGTTTAGGTATCCGGAAGTTAGTCCCTTTCAATAGAGCCTTATTAGGGAAGTGGTTATGGAGATTCGGTAAAGAACGTCATCGACAATGGAGAAGAGTTATCTCGTGTCGTTTTGGGGAAGAGAGTGGAGGTTGGTCCTCTCGTTCTGTTTCTATTACCGGGGGCGTTGGCGTTTGGAAGTTCATTAGGAAAGGTTGGGATGTGTTTTCCACCCATATTCGGTTCAAGGTTCGTAATGGTATGTATGTTAGATTTTGGGAAGACTTATGGTGTGGTGATCAGTTGTTGTCTCTTTCTTTTCCTCGTCTCTTTAGCATCGCCGAGAATAAGCATGCTTATGTAATTGACTGTTATCATCTTGATAACAGTGGAGTTACGTGGGATGTGCGTTTTAGGCGTTCCTTTCAGGATTGGGAGATAGCTGAAGTTTGCGTCTTTTTGGACCTCTTGTATAGACAGAAGGATGTTGACAGAGGTTGTGATGATATTTTGTGGACTCCCTCTTTTCATGGTAGATTCGAAGTTCGATCCATGTTCTTGTGTTTGTCTAATTTTATTGGATATGATTTCCCTTGGAAGTGAATTTGGTGCTCTAAAGCTCCTCTTAGAGTTGCCTTCTTTGTTTGGACTGCTACTTGGGGAAAAATTCTAACATTGGATAATCTGCGTAAGAGAGGTAATACCATTGTTAATTGGTGTTGTCTTTGTAAAAATGATGGTGAGTCTGTGGACCATCTTCTTATGCATTGTCTTGTTGCATTTGATTGCTGGAATCTCATATTCAGTATTTTTGGCGTTCAGTGGGTAATGCCTAAGCACTCTTTCCAATTAATTAATGCTTGGAGAAGATGCCCTGTTTCTGGTCATGCTCGTGATTTTTGGAGGGTCGCCCCACATTGTGTTTGGTGATGTATTTGGAGAGAGAGAAATAACAGAAACTTTGAAGGGAAGGAATCGTCTTTTGCAAACCTTAAGTCTTTTATCCTACACTCTCTTTTCTATTATGTCAGAGGCAGCGCTTGCTCCTCGATCGATGACTTTTTTGTTCTATTGGACTCTGTTGGTCCTTAGGTTTGGCTTTTGCTCTTTCGTTTTTGTGTATTAGGGACGCGTTCCCTTTTTGAACGTTTTTTTAATATATTTTTACTTATCAAAAAAAAAAAAAAAAGAGGCTGATACTGCTAGGCCACTCTCCCCAATCCCAAACTGCCAATAGTGTCCAACTTGTACTGCATACTAACTAACAACAATTACATCAAAATCTACCATTATTTCCAGTAAATACCTTATGCTAGTCTTTCTTTTGTTTAGTTCTTGATAACTATTTTATGCCACTGCTTATATATGGAGCGGAAAAAACCTTACACTAACAATTATCTAGAAAAATATAAATAGAGATCCTATAAAACTATGATATCATATTTAATTTAAATTTGATGTTCTAATGCTAGTAAATAGCAATCAATGATTTTATTAGGGGTTGTTTGTTGTTGCTACATTTTGTGTCGTTTTGTTGTGAAACGCCTAATACAGCAACGATTACATAGGAAACAATCATTGGGTAAAGTGCACGACCAAGATAATAGAGCATCCATAGTGTGTACAGCCAATGGACACAAGTGTGGTCACGCAGATGCACCTTTAATGTTTGCAAGCACTCTGAGATGATAATTCCACCAAAATCAAGCATAATGTCTTAAGGGTTATGTTTATCCTATAACAAAGCTTATTAAATAAAAAGTTTCAGTATGTAGATAAAAACACATGCACTGCATTCTAAAACTTAAAACATATCCTAATGCCTTAATGTCTCGTGAATTTACTGTAATTCTCATAAGTTGCTCATTGTAGAATTCCCACGAGCACTGGGAAAAGGAAAAGTAGAAAAACGACACAAACCTATAGTTATTCAGTTGAAGAAGAATCCCAAGGCCCAAAAGTAATTGAAATCCAAGAAAACAAAGCCCTTGAAATGTTGTCAGATCACCACTAGCAACTGGTCTCATCCTGGTACGTTCTACCTGCACTATGAAAAAAAAAATTCAAAAATAATAACACAGGAAATAAGACAAAAAAGCATCCAGTAAAAAAGATCATATTTAAAATGGTGCTAATATGAACATGTGGTGATATTCCATATAAGTTTATCATAGTCATGCACCTTATTAGCAGTTGTGTGCGCATTGATTGTGGTAGTGTAGTGAAGTAGTGGACAAGTGGGCTTTGAAGACCAGGCAATCATAAGGCATTGATGGGTAGACGAGCAAGAATGGGCACACATGGTGTGAGAAGCAAGTTAACTACTGAAAACAAAGTACTAAGGGAGGGCTTGAGGCTAACAAGTAATGACACCTGTGCATACTCACACTGTGAACCAAACCAACGCCATGTGGGCCGCAATTACATGAAGATGTTGAGCAGGAAAGTCTTGGTTGATATTGAGCAATGGGTTGTGAATCAATAGTTGACGTGGAGCCATTTCATAGAACTAAGAATTCAAGACACGGTTGTCATGCTCCATGTCATGAAAGAATATGATAGACCCACTAAGCGTACAAGGGGGTAAACAAGAGGCACTTCAATTCCACAACCATTATACAAGAACAAAGAACAGTCTTTGATGAGATATCCAAGGAAAAGGTCACATCCATGAATAGTCATGGACTTATGCTGCATATTACCACTCTGTGGTCTGAGAAATTGAAACAATTATCACCATCGCCTGACATTCTTTAGACATGTTAGCATGTAAACAGAACTTTACTTTATATTTGCCATTCATTTGAAATAAGCTGACAGAATCTGTACATGAATATGCCATTTTTAACGAAAGGTGCCACTTAATACTATAATGAGAATTTAACCTAAAGTGAGCAGGATCTACTATCCACAATTTCAGTGTTATAAAAACCAAAATTTGTTCTCCCTTTTGCCTTAATGTCACCTTGGTCTTCCTAAACTCACAATTCACGAAAGACAAAGTTATACTGCATCTATTTATAAAAAATAAATAAATAAATAAAAATTATACCGCATCCATTTTTTACTCGAATCCTGGTCATGGAATGTGATTTGAGTAGGGAATCTAACAAACAAAATGGTGAAAAGAAAATGTCACTATCAAATCCTCTCTAGTAAATTTGCCAAAATGTATTTAGGTTCGTCCACGTCACGTCAGGATAACCCAATGAAAGCGGTCAGAGGAAGATGAGAAAAGGAGAGGAGAACCGAGAGAGTGAATAAACTTTGCCTGTAGAGTAAGGCGAGTGGTCTCGTTGTTCATAAGATGGGTGGGGTTTATGGATTAGGCCATATATATAATGTAAACACATTAAAAATATAACAAAAAAGATGGGGACGTGTAAAATGGATTGTCATTCTAAAAAAGAGACGTGTTCTTTAACCCCTGTCCAACTCTGTCCACAGGTATGAACCCACGAGTTAATGTTTGGCTCTCCCATGGTACAAGGGAGATAGACCACCTGTGGTTGCCCTAATATACCTGCTTCAATGCAAGATTAGCGGCAGTATCCCATGGCCTCCCATCAAAACCCAACCCCTTTGTAATTCTTAAAGTGACAAGTCAAGTCATGACATGGTGAATGGCTGACCATATGGTACCCATGTGGCAAGCAATTGGAGTCAAACCAACAATCAGAAGACTCAATCAATTTAAATTTACTGATTATACTTATTTCCCTTGTCATTCGCTCCCCTCATGTGTAGAACAACAAAATGGTTTGATGAGACCAGTTTTTTATTTATTTATTCTTTTCCCTTTTTTCCATAATTTATTTTTTTCACTTTTGGTTGACCAAGGGGGAGGGGGAGGGGCAGGGGCAGGGGCAGGGGCAGGGGAGGGAACAGTCACAAGGACGAAACAAATGTCAAGTTTTTAATAAAAGCAACGTGCCCTAGCGGTACCAGACCCTACTTCCCAAAGGGAGGTTAGGGGTTCGAGCCTCAATGGAGGCATGTGTGTGAGAGTACCAACTAAGAAAAAAAAATTGTTGGTTAACATAGATAAGTAAAATGATGATACTCTCATGAGCAACAACAGTAGGATCTCTTGTCTTCAAAATGATTACATTTTTCTTCAGCCTTTCAAAAGAACAAAATTAAAACTAAACCTAGTCAAAACCTAGCAAAAATTTCCATAAACGTGCATTTTATACACGTGGAGAAATCTACAAGCTGAAGTTATAGAGAGAGTTATAGAAGACATAAGGTCATTCACTACATGATTAAGGCATACAAATCTGTACCTAGATAAACAACAAAACAAATGCTCAACACAAATGCATATATATATATATATGCATTTGTGTTGAGCATTTGTTTTGTTGTTTATCTAGGTACAGATTTGTATGCCTTAATCATGTATATATATATATATATAGAAGAAAAGGTTATCTTAAAGCTCTTTTTTTTAATTCTACATATGAGCTGGCTTATATTTTCGGAGTCTAGTTCACCTTGTTGAGGATATATGAAAATTAGTGGCACTAGTGCATTTTTGAGGTGGCTGATGAGGTATGAGGTCATAGATCAAATATATATGGAAGCCAATAGTGTGACACAGTAACTGGTAAAATAAGATGAAGAATGTCAGCAAATAAGCAGAAATCAAGATACAGATGCATTTCGCATTGAGACGCATAAAATTCTAGGTTAGTGATACTCTCAGTTCTCAATGATTTCTTCCTTTACAGTTTTGTCCAGTGGGAAAACGCAACAAGAACTAGTTATAGACAGAAGATTTAAGCAATACGCAGAAGATGTCCCACCTATACGGAGTGTTTCAATATTATTTTTGCACAAAGTGGCTACTCTGAAGGCTCAATCTTACATTCTCATATTTTGTAATTCCCAGAAAATTTTAATACTATCTAAATTCGCTATACTATCAAACAGAATATGTTTGATACAAGCAGATTGAGAGCGTGAGTCAGTTACCCCAAAAAATATCGCCTAATTATTGGAAAAAAGAAATAAAATTAAAAATAATAAAATTCATATTAACAGAGCAACAATGTCGTCCAATGCCAATAGCCACATATAAGCCAAAGCCCTCTGCACATTGTTAGTTCTTCAATCCAAGGGTATTATAAGGACTTGACCAAGACCAAACCAAACCACCCATTTTTTTTTTCTTTCTTTTTTTTTTTTTTTTTTTTTTTGTTTCAATAAATAATTTTCATTAATGCTATGTTTGGTAGGAAAGAAAAAAATTGGATGGAAGGGAGAGAAGAAGTGATGGATGAGACATCCCTACGGAAGAGATTGGGTATTTCCTTCTTTTTGTTTGGTTGGATAGAAGAGAAGAGATTAATCTCATAATTTACTATGTTCGTTAAGAGAGAAAGAAAGAGAAAGTTTTAATTGTTTTTACCATTATATCCAATAATATTTATAATATTGTAATATATAGAGGATAGTACTATAATTTAAAACTTATATAATTTAGGATAGTATTTAATTTAAAACTTCAATAATAGTCAACTTGTCTTCCCTCCTTTCTTCTGCCAATTTTTGGGCGGATGAAAATGTAACGTCCCGGATTTTTCCGGATTTTTCGATATATATATTTTTTATTTCTTTTATTTAGTTTCCATATCTCGTTTTGTATGCCACGTAGGTCCCGAGGGTCGATCAGGACATTTTCATGAGTTTGGGAGTTTTGGGAATGCATTTTAAATTATTTTGAGCATACTAGAATTTACGGGATCAATCTTAGAAATTTTGGAGTCGGGACCGACTTTGTGCTCGAGAATCTTTCCCGGTTTTTCTTAAAGATTTATTTTAGGAATTGTCACGTGGTTTTATATACATGTGTGTGTGTGTGTGTGTGTATTTTTTTTTTTTTGGGGGGGGGGGGGGGGGGGGGGAAGGTGGGGAGACTAATGGCTCCTAATGGACAAAATTGTAACTTTGGCTTCAAGGGGTGGGGACCACACGATTGGTTTGGACCACAAATGAGGCCTTACATTTGCAAGAGTGCAAGACTCCATCTTCCCCCTCTCATTTTTCGGCCACCCCTTTTCTCTCTCTAACTTTCTCTTTCTCTCTATATATCTATATACTTGAATGTTTCAAGCCCATATTTGAGACCTTTAGAGTGAGATTTGATTGAGGTGGGAATGTTTAATGTATTAAACTTTGCCTTTTCATGACTTCTCTTGCCTTGATTTCTTGTTAAGCATGTTCTAAATGGAAATCTTTGAGTAGAAATGTTAGTTGTGCACTTAGATGAGTAAACTATGCTTAAATATGATGATGGTTTGTGTAATGGTGTGCCAACTTGCCTATTTGTGTGTAGAGATTTCCACTTTATAATTACTTGTGTAGCTATGATGGCTAGTGTTGATTAAATGTATGTTGAATTGATTTCCTAAGTTGCCAAGTATGCCAATGTTGAGTAGATAACATATACTTCCAATTTGTTTACCATAGTTATGTTGGAATGCATATGATAAATGCATGAGTTAGCTAGATGAAATAACATGTTTAAATGATTCATGAAAGGGTGGTTTAAATTGTAGACTTCACTTCTATACTCATTGCACGGCATGATATTGGAGTGGTTGTGGGGAATAAATTTCAAGAATTGTGAAATGATTTTAGAAAGGAACCGGATTTCACGAATCCGGTGCTAATTTGACCTAGAGGGAGTGTGTGCCGGATTTGGAAGTGTAATATTGCATTAACTAGACCCCAGATGGTTGTCAGATTTGAAGCCAAGGATAGTTAAGCAATATCGCCTCGGTAAAGTCAATTAGCGGTTTTCGGTGTGAGTTGTGTCGGTTTAAGGCCGGGATTGGAGAGAGGAATGCATCTCATTGCTTTGTTCATGCTTTTAAATCTTGGCATTGTGAAATGGACGCTATTATGGTTAGGCATGTGGTTGTATCCCCAAGCATGATCCCAGTTATCTTTTATTCCCGTTCTTTGGTTGTTGACTCAAGAGAGTCCAAAGTTGATGCCTTAAGCATCTCCTATTGAGCTTTCGTGCTCACCCCTTTCCTTAATATTTTTCAAGTAACGGCAAAGAAGTAATGGATAATGTACCTCCACAAACTAAGACGTAGGAGAAGACCTTACTATTTTTGTAAATTTCATAGCAATGCTTACTTTAAAGAAGATTGTTTTGTAATGTGACACGATTCATTATTTTTGTAGAAAAGCATTGTAACTAAGGTCTCAAAAGGCCTAGAATTGTAATCTTATTTTTTTGAATCACTTTAGAATATTTTGGGTATGTAAATGATGAAGACGATAATTACATTTACACTTGGGCAATAGTACAAGTTTTGGAATGATATGAAGTTTAATGATGTAATCATACATGATAAGACGGCGTTGGTCACTTAATTATTCTTTTAGGACAACAACTTATACAATGATTCTAGCATGGTTGTAATAGGATGTTTAATCACTATTTCGTGTATAATGATGTGTTGACGATGTATAATTGAATTCTACGTGAGTTGGGACAGGTGCTTAGCGATCACAATGATCACAATCACTATTTCTAGGAATGTTATTATGGTGGTATTAAATGACTAATGAGAATTTGATGGTGTAATAGACCTAGTAGATAACTAATGAGAATTTGATGGTGTAATAGACCTAGTAAGGAACTAATGAGAATCTAATGGAGTGAAATAGACCTATTAAAGAACCTAATGTCAATGAATGACCGTTTTGCCCTCGGATGACCTCGGGTTCGGTTAGTGATTCGGACTCCCGGGTTCGGTCGTTACAGAAAATTTGTAAAGGAGGAAGGATGGGTCATCGTTCCTATTCTCCTTTCTTTCCTTGTATCATCTCTATCGAACAAAGAAAGTTCGTTCGTTCCTATTTTCTCTCCACACCTCTTCCTTCCTTCCTACCAAACACAACATAAGGGATGCTCAAAAGGGGAGCGCCAAACCTCCCAATTTATTTGCAACAAAGAACTACTCTCAAAATCGAACCTCCATTTTTCATACTTGACAAAGAACATATAATGTAAACGTTTTGTTATTTTTTTATTTTTTTATTTTTATAAGTAAAAATATATTAGAAAAACGTTCAAAAGGGGAACGCATCCCTAATACAAGAGAAAAGATCTAAGAACCAATAGAATCCAAGAGATCAAAGAAATCATCAATCGAGGAGCATGTACTTCCTTTAACATAAAAGAATAAAGAACGAAGAATATGAATTTTTAAATTAGCTAAGGACGATTCTTTTCCTTCAAAGGATCTGTTATTTCTCTCACGCCACAAACACCACCAGACACAATGAGGAACAATCTTCCAATAAGCACGAGCTTGTTTCTTAACAGGACAACTTTTCCAAGCGTTAATCAATTGAGAGGAGTGCTTAGGCATTACCCAAAAAATGCCGAAAATGCTGAAAATAAAACTCTAACAACCAAACGCCACAGGACAATGCAAAAGAATGTGATCCACGGATTCACTATCATCTTTGCATAAACAACACCAATTAACAATGATGTTGCCTCTCTTTCTCAAATTGTCCAAAGTCAAAATCTTCCCCAATGTAGCTGTCCAAACGAAGAACGCGATTCGAAGAGGGGCTTTAGAGCACCACACAGACTTCCAAGGAAACTCGGAACCAACGAAATTGGATAAATGAATAAACATAGAGCGGACATTATACCGACCATGAGCCAAAGGAACCCACAAAATATCATCACACCCTCTGCCAATATCCTTCTGCCTATACAAAATATCCAAAAAAGCAGAGACTTCCTCCATTTCCCAATCCTGAAAAGACCGCCTAAACCGCACATCCCACGTAACTCCATTGTTATCAAGATGATAACAATCAATCACGAAACATGCTTATTAGTTGCAATGCTATAAAGCCTAGGAAATGAGTGTGAAAGCAACTGGTCGCCACACCAAAGATCCTCCCAAAAACGAACATACCTGCCATTACGAACTTTGAATCTAATAAGAGTAGAGAAAACATCCCATCCTTTCCGAATAAATTTCCACAAACCAACGCCTCCCGTAATAGTGACTGGAAGAGATGACCAACCCCCACTCCCCTCATCAAAACGACACGAGACAACTCTTCTCCACTGACGATGTCGTTCCCTTCCAAATCGCCATAACCACTTTCCTAAGAGAGCACGATTAAAAGGAACAATTTTTCGAATGCCTAACCCTCCGAATCTCAATGGTTGGCAAACTTGATCCCAATTAACAAGATGATACTTAAACTCCTCTCTCCTTCCACCCCACAGAAAATCCCTCTGAATTTTTTCAATTCTATTAGCAACAGAACATGGAATTTGAAACAAAGATAAAAAATAGGTAGGAAGGGATGAAAGAGTACTCTTTATAAGTGTGACTTTCCCACCCTTAGATAGATACTGCTTTTTCCATCCTGCTAATCTTTTCTCATATCTATTAATCGCTGAATCCCAATTCCCAACCAGAGTAGAAGAAACTCACAAAGGCAACCCTAAATAAGGAAGAGGAAAAGAACCAACTCCGCACCCTAAAACAACAGCTAAGGAGGAAATATCTGGAACATCCCCCACTGGAACAAGCACACTCTTTCCGACATTAATCTTAAGCCCAGAAACTGCTTGGAAGCAAGCAAGAGTGCACCTCAGATATCTGAGTTGAGAAATATCAGCATCACAAAATACCAAAGTATCATCAGCAAATAAAAGATGAGAAATCTGGATCTGATGATCAACATCTCTGCCAACTCTGAACCCCCTAATGTAACCCAAATCTTCCGCTTTTCTCATTAATCTAGTCAGACCTTCCATAACGATGAGAAAAAGAACAAATGCTCTTAATTCTTTTTGTCAAGAATACATCTTTATTTTTTCCATACTTCAAAGTTATCAATCAAGAATTGAGGATTATTACAATTATACCTTAACAACCACTCACAAGAGCATTATACTAAATACAACCAAATAAACAATGCATTTCCCTAGTAGAAAGAAAAGTAACTTGTATTTCCCAACAAAGCAAGAAGCTTAAAAATACCTTTGTATCAATATCCTGGTCAAGGAGATCATTAACAGTACATCCAGCACCTCTTAAGAGCACAGCCCCACAACCGAACAACATCAACATCTTAATATCAGGAAGGCTCCCAGGGGATGCTGCCAAAGTAATCGACCTAAGGCAATAAATATGCATCTCAGGCAAGTAAAACTGAAAAGTATATCATCCTACACGCCATCTCTAAACTTTTCAAGCAGTTAGACATCAAAATCCCCACTATGAATTCAATTTAGAATATTGAACATAAAATGTTACAGAACCAGTCACCATATTAAACCAAATATGCATATACATATATATAGCAGGTAATTTCTTCATTTTATATGACATAGGACAATTTCAACTCACTGATTAATATTAACCCAATTTGAATTCTTCTCAAAGTACACATGCATTTACATATGTGTGTTTGAAAATATTTGAACAACAGAAAAACATAACAAACCATAATTTTAAAAAAGAACTTGGAAAGAGGAAATGATAAAGGAAAATTGAAAATCTTACCACATACAGGGCCAGACAAGTAGCCATGTACCGATCGGCTTATCCAACCGAGCAAGGCGTGCATAGGGCTGAGCTTGCTTGGGCAGATACAACTCAATCCAGGACAATTCACTCTTCGGACCTCTGCGATCGCCCTCATGGTCCCCATTCTTCTTCTCCTCCTCCTCCGCTATACCATGCGACGTTGAAATGCCGGCGCTCTGAACCAGTCTGATTGAATTGAAGTCCCTGAATCTGAACGCTTCAACAAGATTGGAAATGCATCGTCGGTCTGATTGTTTGAGTGGATTGGTTGGAGAGTTATGAAACAAGCTTAAACATTGATTAGGGCTGGGGTTAGGGTTGGAGTGGAAGAGGGATTGAGTGAGAGAAACAGAGAGATGAGAGGTTTGAAACCTACGACAAGCGCGAGAGATGCGTAACAGCGCCATAAATTTGAAAAAAATAATTCTATTTTGAAAAATAGGTTAGAAAAAATTTATTGTACCAAGTGTTTTGAAAATAAAAAAAATTTAAATTTCCATATTAGACTATATATATAGACAAATAATACTTCCCTCCCAAACAGAGATGGTTGAGGGATGAATTGTGCAAGCAGCTTGAAGGAGACGAGAGATCACAGATGTTGACCGGTGAATCTGGCTGGGATTATGGAGCGAGCCGACCAGGCTTTACTTCCGGGAGTTTATAAAGGGAGTTGGGGAGCCTTACACACCGGCCCAACGGGCCTGGGTTCACTCACTCTGTCCGGATCCATTGTTCGGTCATAGATTCTTCCCCCCACACCAAATCTGGATAGAAAGGTTTTGCACATATAAGATTGAGTAGGAGTGCTAATTGCAGCCGCACATGCGTCTTGCACAGCCACACCCCCTAATTAATTAATGTATTATATATATATATATACACACACACCCAAAAAGGACAGTCCTGTGTTCACTCACTCTGTTCGAATCTATTGTTTGGTCATAGATTCTTGTCCCATAATAGAGAGGGCTTTGTGCATATAAGATTAAGGAAGAGTGCTAATTGGAGTCGCACCTCTAATTAATTAATTCATTATATATATATATATATATATATATATATATATATATATGTGGACAGGTTAACGAGAAATTATTACATGGTCCTAAGATTTATAAGCTTAGTCAATATTACATGGTCCTAAGATTTATGAGCTTAGTCAAGATTTATGAGCTTAGTCAAGTTATAGATTAAATACTCACACACCTGTACTCCTATCCCATGTGAGTTCGAACTTTCAACTTTTTACTTTAAAAGATAAATAAATATTACTACGCTACAATACTTAATAGTAGCTTTTAGATTTATGAAACACCTCTTCTTCTTTTTTTTCTTCTTTGTTTTATTTTGTTGTTATACTTGAGCAAGATGCATCAGTGCAAGTGATAGTGGTAAATGCCTCATCATCCTTATTTGAATCTTACATAAATTGGGTGGACCAACTTTTATAAATTAATATGAACTAAAAATCTGAATTTATCATTATGAGTTATTATTTAAAAAATAAATAAAAAATCAAATAATAGAGAGAACCAATTACAAAATATTTCCTTTTATGATAAAAAAGAAATAAATTTACTGGAATATAACAGAAGTAATAGGAGTTAAGAATTCATGGGGGATCTGGAGGTGGGTTATAAATACCAAAAGGGCTGGTCTGAAGAACCGAACAAACAAAGTTTTCCAGTTCCAAATTATCTGAAATAACCCAAACTTACGAATTTTTTTTTTTGAACAACAAAGCCCCCTCAGCTATGAGTGGGGCTTTTGGCACAAAACGGCGTCGTCACCCTTTTGTTGCGTCATATTAAAGGGATTCGATTTCCTTCCCCTTTCCCCACCATTTCCCTCGAAAGTTGCTTGTATGTGCAGCTACACTTTGAACACGTAGTAGAGAGAGAAAAGCTTTGAACAAGAAAGAGAGAGAGGGACCAGATGACATTTAACGACAACTATCTCGAAAAACCCTAGAAATAGTCGATTAATACCATCTCAAAGTTTTAGAGCCATCTCTGAAATTGACACGCTATGGAGGCAACGGCGAGATCTGCTGTTCTTCCCCATGTAAATCTTTCCGGTTCAACTCTCCGTTCGAATCGTAAAACCGCCATGTAAGCCTCTGACAAATATACGCAATTGTGATATTGAGATGATTATTAGTTGGTCATGTGTCTTGATTGAAAACTACATTTTTCCCTGACAATAATCAATATATATATATATATATATATATATATATATATTGGGTTTGTAGTTGTTAACTTGTCTGGATTTATTGAATATTGTAGTAAAATAAAAATAACCATTCTATGATATTTCTCCATTCTCCAAAATCAATCAAAAAAACGCCCAATTGTTTATTTATTGGTTGATTTTCCACAACCCTTTTGCATTTAATAGCAAAATCATACATTGAAAGGTGAAACAAGGAGGAAAGGTGATATTTTGACATTGATCTTGAATTTTTTAGATAGTTTGTGTTTTCTTTCTCAAGTGATGTTTGACCCAAACCCCCAGTGACTCAAAGACCTTCCATTTTGACTCATGACAAAATCAGCCTAGAATTTGGTCTGGTAGTAAGAGGAAACAGGACTGGAAATCAATTGAGGCTGATTATAGTTACAAGATAGTTTCAAAAAAAGTCTGACATGTAAAGAGAGTGGAGGAAATGAGAAGAAGCGTGAATGACGGGTTTCGAATTAAACATGTGGAAATTGAGTTGTAAATGTAATAACAAATATATGCGCAATACCATTATGAAAAATACATGGCAGAAAGAAAAACGGGCAGTTTGACTGTCCAAGAACCAGAAACCACCCTTGAATCAAGTGAAAAGCAGGTTATTCCACATTAGACAATTTGGCTTTAAACCCATCAACACAAGTTCTTTAACTTTAGTTTCAGTTCCAAGTATTTTACTTCCCTTGCGTTGCATTTCCACTTCCAGTTGTGTAATCTTTCATTTACATTTATATTCAGTTCTAGTACTTTAGTTTGTTCAGTTGGCTTTTGCACTAAGCAAAGATTAATTTGTTGCAATGAAGTTAAGATTTGAGAATTTGTGCAATGAATTGCACTTCAGTTTGGTACAGTTTGTTTATTGATCTCTTGTTAGTTTTATTTCAATTTGCAGTTGATTAAGTTATTTTCCAAGAGAAGTCATTTGGCAATACCAACTTGAGGGGAAGGGTCATCCCTACATTCCATAGCATTTTATCATTTTTATGTAGTATTCCTCCATTAGAAGTGTCTGTAAGGGATCAACTGACTGAATTAGTGCAGGAGCAATATGGTTTGGCCTTAAGAAGATAAGCCTACTTTTTTGCATTGAAACTTCTCTCTCTCTTCCCAGTAGGTAAATATCATCACACACATGCTCTCATTGGGGCTTGAACCCTCAACCTCCCCTTTGGGAAGTTGGAGGACATACCACACAAGTCAAGAAGACTTTGGTGGTTTGTATAGGAAATCTTACCTAGAATGGGTCAACTGAATTAAGTTTCCTAGGGGATTCATAGTCAATTTATGCAAAAATCAAAAGTGAGCTATGAGACGCCACAGTGGAAGGTTCCCAACAATGCTTGCCTATTTACATGTATGTATTAATGTACACAAGTATGTGATTTTTGTATATATGCATTCATTTAGTTTGTTAGTGTGTTATATGATAATGTTTTTTAGTGCATTCTTGAAATTAAGTTTGCCCTTTGTCTTTTTATTGATAGATCATGCCTTCGAAGTAGACGTGTTATGCTTGCCTATAGCTGTTCATCCAAAGGATCACGAGTTTTTGATTCACGTACCTGTCGAGCATCTATGCTTTTATCTTCTGACTCAAGTAATGAAAGGAATAGCAGTCTAGGGGGATCGTACGCAGGTGACCCAAAGAAGAGGAACCTAATTGGGCAAACATTTTCCTCTATGGGAGTGTGCACATATCCTGGAAGTGGTGTTGCATCTCCTTCACATGCTGCAGAAGAAAAAATAGGAGTGCTGCTTCTGAATCTTGGAGGACCGGATACGCTGCATGACGTTCAACCATTTTTGTTCAATTTATTTGCAGACCCAGTATGTTAGTCAACCTATTTATGCCCAAATATTAATGTATAGATGGTAGATACAAAGTGAAGTTGGTTGTATGTTTTTTTTGGTTGCGTTAATGATTATAATGATTTAAGACAGGATATTATACGTCTCCCCAGGCTGTTCCGATTTCTTCAGCGACCACTGGCACAACTGATTTCTGTTTTCCGGGCGCCCAAAAGTAAAGAAGGGTATGCTGCCATAGGTGGTGGCTCACCTTTGCGAAAAATAACAGATGAGCAGGTAAAACTTATTTTGACCTGACAAAATGCATGATTTTGTCCAAGTTTTGATTTTTTATAGCATTTTTTTATTTTTATAGCATCATCTTGTTCTTGTTCTTAAATGCTAGTTTTGTGTTTTTGTCCTCTCTGTCTTCCCTCTTTACCTCTACTCTACTCTCATCTCATCATCTCCTCTTCTGTTCTTTGTTGGTGCTACTCTTGTTTGTTTGTATGTAGTTTCTCATGACATTAACAATTGAGCTGTTTGTTGCAGGCAACTGCACTTAAGATGGCATTGGAAGCAAAGGAAACGCCTGTGAATGTCTATGTCGCAATGCGGTACTGGCACCCGTACACCGAGGAAGCTGTTCAACAGGTTAGTCTTTAAAAGATCTCATGATGGCTTGCCAAAAAAAAAAAAATGGAAGATCCCATGATGATTCCCATTAATTTATTATTCTGTTTTTCGTTTTATGCTAGCAAGTTCCCTATTGTATTGAACCGTGTTGTGTGTGTTTCCCCCTTTGTGCCTGCATCTCTATCTTGTTTATGTGTCTGTAGATGACTGCAATGTCAGGTCTTCTGAATACATTCTTATACAAGCCAATCAATATGCTGAAGTAATGAAAATTTTTCCATTGGGTCGCTGCTGCCTGATTTAGAATTCTCCAGGGTGGTGGTAAAATAAGGAGAATGTGAAAGGACCAAGTGTCCTGATATATATATTAGACTCAAACTAGGATATCCAGTATAAGGTTGCATTTACCTGTTTTAATGTGTCGGTGTAAACGGATGCCTTAAAAGATGGAATGGAACTTCTGAACGCTTTCTAATACCTATTTACTTATAAAAAAAATAAAAATAGATGGCATGGAACAGTATGCTGAGTAAGGCATTTGTGTGTGTGTGCGTGTGTGTGTGGGTGGGTGTAGTCCTGATGTTTATATGTACCTCTTCCTATCTGTAAACACACTGCCTCTGTCTTTTTGCATTTATCTTAAACTAACGGCGTCTAGTAGTTTCTTAGGCATTCCATTTGAAGAACTCAAATCCATTTTGCTTGCTGATTTGTCAGCTTCATTTCCCCTAATTCTTTTTGTTCCATTGGTAGAGTGGAGTAAACCTTTGTTATTGTTTTCTAGTCTGCTCTGATTACCCATTTTTGGCCAAGCATTTCTTGTCATATGTATAAATCAGTTAAATCAACGTGTTTGACATTTCCTTATTCTCTGACAGATGAAGAGGGACGGGATTACAAGGCTTGTTGTGCTGCCACTTTATCCTCAATTTTCCATCTCTACAACAGGGTCAAGCATCCGTGTCCTGCAAAGTATATTCAGGTTGAAATCTTGGTTCACTGTGTGAACTCCATAACAGCATGGATAGGGATTTTATTTATTCTACTTTTTCCACCTTGACAAACATACCTAAATTTGTATTTCTATCAGGGATGATGCATATTTGTCAAGACTGCCCACTTCTATAATACAGTCCTGGTATCAACGAGAAGGTTATATCAAATCAATGGCAGACTTGA